TGCTTACTACTGACCCATTTTTTCCAGTCAATATTATGTTTATTTTCGTACTCATGACGTTGTGCTGCTGATTTGATATCATACAGTCTAAATTTCGTTGTTATTGTTTTTGTTGATTCTGTGTTGTCTCCATTCCTCTCAACACTATTATCATAGTCAGAAACTAAGCTGGTTGTTGTATCTTTTGCTGCGATGCGAGCTGAGCGTCGTATACCATCATCGGGAGTAACTGCACTAGGTGGCGGAGCACCATGCTCTTTCAACCGACGATACATTTGCCTGACTGTTTTGCCGATATATGTAGCTTGACAGGAAGAACAGTTCAACTGATAAACTATGTTTGATTTAATATCCTTATTTATTTCATCTTTATTCTGGAAAAGTTTACCGACCGCCTTTGGTGGCCTAGAGATTGTTAGCAATTTATCTGATGGTTTCGGTTTGTTACTTATCTTTCTGATCTCCTGAATGGATCTGTTCGATGAATTTCCCACGAAGGGGACATAAACTATTATCCAATCTGTTTTTGCATCATTGCTGTTGTCTTTTTTTTGTGATCTTGTGTTTCTTCTTGAATTTGTTCTTGACTTGATTTCTGCTTTTGCTTTTCCATGTGCCTATCTAGAGTTTCTCTTACTTGTCTTTCAATGAAATTAGATGGATAGCCATTATCTTTAGAGACCTTACGAATGAAATTAAATTCCTCATGCAAGAGTGTGAATGTTGAGCAAATACGTATTCCACGATATACAATACTACTGATTGCCGATCTTTTATATTGGCTTGGGACAAATGATTCCCATTTTGTCAACAGTCCAGTGTATGTTGACTTTCTGTACACTGTTGTTACAAATGAATTGGCTTTACGTTTTATTAATACGTCAAGAAATGCAAACTGTTCCCGTTCTTCTTTCACTGATGTAAACTGAATATCTTGGTGATGACTGTTAAGAATATTCAATATCTTATCTGAATTTGCTTTTTTCCTTACTATGACGAACGTGTCATCTACAAACCTTTTGTACCACAGCACACCTTTCTTTCTTAGTTTTTTCATCAAAATTCTTTCAAGATCTATCATAACGATATCAGCCAAAATAGGCGCAAGAGGTGAGCCCATAGTCACACTGTTGTGTTGCCGATAATATTTCCCATTGAATGAGACGTGCGTGTCTGCTGTAGCAATCCGAAGTAGTTCTTTGAGATGTTTACGCTTTACGTTTTCATTGTAATATTACCCTCTCTAGACTTAATTATATAGGTTCCAAAATCTATCTCAACTATTTCCACAATTTCAACTCATACATCATAACATTCTCCTATACTCCTTTGATTTCATCCTAAATTGTCTTCTAAAGTTATATTGTATTTATTAGAATATTATACTAATTCTTTGTTTATTATGTTGTAGATTAAATCTAGTCAATGATAATAAAATTATCGAAACGTCGATATTAAAATGAAAAAGAATCTTTTTCTTGCTGCTGTTAAATCAATACAATTTTGTCTAAAAATATTGCCCATAAACAAAAACAATTAGCTGTTATTAGCATCCATAGAAACATTGCTCATCAATAAAATATCGGCAATGTTATTGATGAATTTGTTAAGCCAAGACGTAGACTAAGTTTTGCAAATGAGTTTACTTAATTAATATGTGTTTGTCTGTGATTGATTTTCTTATTGTAAATAGTATTAATCATATGCCAATAAAAATTATTTATTATGTATTAATGTACAATAAAAACATTTGGTTCCCTCCTCCGCTTTAAAAAAGTCTGGCTAAGTCGCTGAGCATAACCATTAAATTTTCAGAGGAAGAGCTTTCGAAGCAACGATTTTCAGAAGCCAATGACACTCCAATGTTTCCTCTCTTTTCGGTAGTCCTACGATTAACAATATTATTTCCATATCATAAAATATTCAACAGTTACTACATCTTTAAAATTCTAGGTCTACTCTATAAACAAAGGAACGACTTTGTTATTTTGTTTATCTATACATTGGATGTGACTCGAATGAACATATTCTGGTTATTTTTCTTTTATTAAATCACGTTTCTTTTTTAGTAGTCAACATATATGACTTAACTATAGACGAAGAGAGTGAAATATTCGAGGGTCAGACTAGAAGAATTTCCCAGCGACATTTCTCTCTTTCATTCTCTATTTTTCTTGCAACACAAAATAAACGAAAAATAAGAAAAAAAGAATATTTGAATCCATTCATTTGGGGTCGATATTCACTAACACCCAGGTCATTATAGATCAGTCGGATCTTGTCGGACGGGTTATCATCCAGATGTAACATGGTGACCGGATTCGGTCGGTTAATTTCTGGTGAATTCCGATGATTTTCTTTGTTTTCTTATCAAATCTGGTTACCGGATTCTCCGAGAACCGACCAGATTTACATTGCCCGAAAAAATCAGGTCAGATGATACGATTGGGCCGTATACGACGTGATCCGACAATATCCGATAACGAAACTTTACCGGAATCCGCCGTGCCGAATGACGCTCGATTTCATGGTAGATCCGGCTTAATCAGTCTCACCGGAACCAATCGGATCATATCAGAACCGAACGGTCCTACTCACCGGATTAAGCCACTTACTACAACACAGATCTGACCGACTACATCTGCAACTAATTACTAGATGCTAAAGGAGGATCTTGTGATCCATTCCGACCCTTAATTATCAGCTCACACAACCGATGACAAACATGAATTAAAATTATGGTTCATCGAATAGTTTATTTATGAAAATTCAATTCACATAAGCAACATGATTAAGTATTTACTGATGCTGAGTGAAGTTATCGACCCGAATGAATTTCACTCAACTCGCTTATCATAACTCCAACTAATATAACTTAATTCTACGATCGACTCCTGGTCTAACCCGAAATCCACAGCCATTAATGATTACCGAGGGCAAGATAAACTTGCTATATACTCACACTATCTTGTTCGTCCATGCAAATCGACAAAATTTAAAACGCGTTACACACGTGTTTTCTCGGTCTGACAACACCAAAAGCATCATTTCAAATCACCAACAAACGCTTTTGAGAACGCTCGAATGTTGCATACACATAATATTAAAAATTCTATATGCCACTAAATCATTTTCGGATGTCACTCAAAATCCTGTTTGATGAAGAAAAGCTACGTTGGAACTATCGAGAATGATTTTCTGAATGATTCTCTATGTCTTCGTGATTTTTTCGATACCTCCAGGTTGAGCTGCGGAGTGATTTTCGTCGAAGGAAAGTGTGGTTGGATCCTTAGCGAAAGATGCTTAGAATCCTGTTTCACGAGGAAAAGGTACGTTGGAACCATTGAGAAAGATTATTTGAACGATTCTGTACGACTGTGACAATCTTTTGATTGATGCAAAATGATCCGTGGAGCGATTTTCTTTGAACTGTTGGTTAACACAATGACCCATTCTATAGGTTTTGAATGTAATTAATGGATGAAAACGTAAGTGGTGATGTTCCAGAATAACATTCAGATGCATTTTCTATGAATTATCAGTGATTTCGATGGGTGCAAAATGATGTATGGAGCGATTTTCGGTTAGTTATTGTGCAACAAGATGAGTCTTTAGATATGTTCAGAATGATATTAATTGATGAAAACGTTAGTGGTGATGTTCCAGAATGATATTCAGATGCATTTTGTATGAATTATCAATGATATCGATGGGTGCAAAATGATGTCAGGGCGATGTTTTCAAGAAGTGATATGCAAGAATATGGCGCAGTAAACGGCTTGGTATTGTGTTTAATGAATACGATGTATAGTAGGTTGGTTTCGGATTATTTTAAGTGTGGGCATTGGTGAGTCAGATGTTGTTGTTTTCGGGTTACAATTTTTTTAGGGTGATTGCTGTTGGGAGAAATGTTTGTTGTAGACCCGTTTGAGCGGTGAGGGTTCGGATTATGTTGTGATTCTTCATCAGGCGTAGTCATTTCGGTTGGTGTGCGTGGTACAAAAGGTTTGTAGATGACA